CCCGGCGGGGCGACCGCCCGCCGCCGGGCCGCCGCGGGCGACTAAAGGCCGCCTGGGCCGCTGCATGGCCGCCGAAAAAGGGTGTTATTGCTGCGCCCCTCTCACTCCCCGCTGCCCCAGGGTCCCGCGTGCGCCGGGGCCCGACGCTCCTGTTCGCCCTCGCGGCCGCCTGACCTCTGCCAGCCAGCGCTGCTCATTCTGCCTGCGCCTGCACCTACGCCTCGCCGGCCCCAGCCCCGCCGGCCCCGGCGGCGGCCGCCTGCTCGGCGGCGGCGGGCGCTGCAAGCTGCAGCGCGGGCGAGGACGGCGTGGGCGGCTGCTCCTGGGCCGCCGCCGCGGCGGCGGCGGGCGGCACGCCGCTGCCGGACGACCGGCGGGCGTCGTCGACGTGCTGCTGCTGCTGCACTGCCTGGAGAGCCGCTGCCTGAGCGGCGCGGAGCACATGGTGTGAGTCAGCCTGCCCCATGAAGCTTCCGCCGCCGCTGCTGCCGTCCATGCTGCGCTTCCCACCGCCGCCGCCGCTGCCGCCGCCGCTGCCCGCACGAGCGCCGCTGTGCAGCCCACGGCCGCCGGCGTCCGCGTTTTGCTGCTGCTGCAGGTGGTGATGATGGTGCTGCTGCTGCTGCTGTTGCTGCTGCTGCGCTGCTGCGGCACCCATCATCGCTGCATGCTGCGCCTGCATCCCCGCCATCGCGGCCGCCGCCGGCCCCATAGCCACCGCGCCGCCCGGCGTCATCACCATGCCCGGCATGCCCATCTGATGCATTCCCGCCGCGGCGCCCATGTGCCCCAGCGCCATCATCTGCGCCGCGTCCGCCGGCGCGGCCATGAGGAAGCCGCCGCCCGGCGCCGGCATGAGCGTGGGCCGCATCATCGCGCCGCCCATGGGCATCCCATACGCAGCCATCGCAGCTGCACCTGGCACCCCGGGGACGGGCATGCCGTGCGCGCCCACCGGGATGACCCCCGGCGGCGGCGCCATCATCGACAGCCGCTGCGCCTGCACCACGGCCAGCAGCACGCCGAGCGGCTGGAACGCCGCGCCGCCCGGCGGCTCCGCCATCGCCGCGGCAGCGGCGCGGGGCACGCCGCAGACACGCGTCGTGCCGGTCACGCGGCCGCGGGCGACGGCGTCCAACACGTCAGACGGCTCGTAGGGGCCCTCTGGCTCGGCCGGCGCGCCCGGCTCCGCGTGTATGAGAAACCACAGCGGCGACAGCGGCGGCATGAGGCCGCCGCTGGTGAACACTACGTGGGCGAGCTCCATGAGCGGCCGCGAGCCGTTGAGCGGCCCCGACAGCGGCGGCGGCACGGCGA